CGCATTGTTCTGAAGTATCAGACGAACCTTGTTTTCAAGGGTCCTTTTGTCAGCTTCAGACAGGTGACCGCTGTCTCTACTGTCTCCTGATACAAACTCGAGCTGCGGATACTTCAGACCAGGGCACGCAATAAAGTCCAGCTTGAATGGTCTTGCAAGAAAGGCGTACTCAGCTCTCTCACTCGCCCGAAACACTGTGATGCCTGGAGAGTAGATTGCCTCGTTGGCAGCTATTGGATACAGACGTTCCGGTTTCAGGTCGTTGTGCAGACTCGAGCAATAGTTTGTCCGCCGAAATAGAGACTCCTCCCGAGCGCCAGAGCCCGTTGCCACGCAGCCTCCTGGGAAACAGTCGTCTGCGAGATTCAGGACCATGGGTCTGAATCCTGCCTGCTGCAACCTGCGTGCAGCTACTATGGTGTCCTCGTTTGTCACTCGAACCTCTGTATCTTTGTACCGCTGCGGCAGCGCCTGGTCCGGGCAAAAGATGTGCTTTTCGCACTTTGGCGGACGTGGAAGCCTTTCCGAGATGCCTTTGGTCTCTTCCCAAACCTTGATACGCACGTCTTTGATGTGAGGTACCTGGTCTCTCTTCTGCTCCATAAACATTCTGCGGTCTGTCATTGAATCGAGGTTACTTTTTCAGACGTTGTACGCATTGGGCGTTAGAGGAACATGTAACGTTTGTGTTTTTACCCTTTGCCACATCTTCATCATGCGCTCTAAAAAGGCTAGTGGATCTTCCCTTTCCTGCTCTGTAGTTGCGTCTCTGCAGTCGAGCTCCTGTTTCATCTGCTGCAAAACTTGCTCTTGCTTCCTTAACTTGCACTCGACTTCACGTATCTTCTTCTCTATGAATGCCATGGAGGTGTTGGCTGAGGTAGACATGTTGGTTATCCCGAACAAATAAAGATCAAGTCCGCCTCCTCCAAGCAATGGGGATGTTGTTGTTCGGCTGCGAGTCACCGTTGGCATATGCCTTCACAATCTTTTCTACCACAACCGAAACACACATCACACTCGCAGTCTTTTTCTCTCTTCTGACAGCAATTGCACATCTGTTTCTTTCGAAAGACAGCTTCCTTCGTCGTCCATTCACCGTCGTCTATGACCCAACCTTGCCTATCAGCAAGGGCTTCTAGTGCACGCACACGTTGCTGCAACTGTTGCATCACCTTGCTGGTGGTCTCCATGGTCGATGTAGGTTCTTGTCACATAATTACAAGGACAATCAGACGCATCGGGTGTCATTCCGAGTGGGGATCTCAGGCAGCTTGACTTTTGACAATATGAGAGGGTGCAGTCGTTGATCTACACCCTATGCATATATAAACTGAATCATGAGCCAACCCACGGACAAGCATGCGTCTACTGCCAAAGAATTTTTCCCTTCTGCAAAAGAAGCCATGGAATCCCTGAGGGTGCAGATTGTGTCGGACCTTCACCTCGAAATGTCTTCCAGAAAGGCGAAACATATACCAGTGACCGCACCTCATATCGCTTTGCTGGGCGACATTGGAAGAGGCAACAGCAAGGAGTATGCGGCCTTTGTTGAGGATCTGTCACGGAGGTATTCGACCGTCCTTATTGTTGCTGGCAATCACGAGTATTACACATGCAATTATGACGACGTGAACGAGGCAATCTCTGCACTGGCAGACAGACTCCCCAACGTGCTCTTTCTGAACCGTGATTGTGTTGAACTCGAAGGTGTTCAGGTGATTGGGTGCACGCTGTGGAGTCATGTGCCACCCGCTTGCCAGCGTGCCGTACAGGCAACCTTGAATGACTACCTCCTTATCCGAACCGAAGACGTTTTCGGTAATCCGAGGCCCTTAACAGTGGCTGATACGAATGCGCTTCACCAGGTTGATCTGCAGTTTATCAGAGGCAAGATCGAAGAGTGCCGGACAAAGGGTCAGAGCGCGTTAATCCTCACTCACCACGCGCCTCTGATGAACGGAACGTCCGACCCCAAGTTCGAGGGCCGTCCAACTAACCATGCCTTTGCCACGGACCTGAGGGAGCTCATGGGCGCCCCGGTTGTTGCTTGGGCTTATGGGCACACTCACTTCAACCCTCGATCGCTGCTGGGTGCTGGCAGCACCATGCTTGTTTCCAATCAGAAAGGCTACAATGGAGAGGCGGTTGGGAGGCCGTTTGACCCTGGTGCTTTCCTCCAGATCGATGGGACGAAGGCCACGTGGGTACCCAGCTCTACCGAGAAAAGGACATGACTGCTGCGTCTTACCGCCGGCTCGATCTTGTGATCGACACTTAGGGGCAACGAATATGGATAACTGGTCATCAATTCGAAGCATGGCAAGTGTTGCAATTGCTGCCGGTGCCACGGTCGGTGACAAGCGCGCTCGCAAGGAGGCAAAGCCAACGGGCAAGTTCGTCTGCACTTTCCCGGGGTGCAACAGGCCGTTCACTAAGAAGTCTAACCTCACGCGACACGTCAGTGTGCACTTCAAGGACCTCTCTCCACCAGCAACTTATGCAGGGTGGAAGCAGCACTTCAAGTATACCCATATTTTCGGCCTCCCAGACGGCAGGCTATGGAGCACAAAAGCGGGAAAGTTCCTTGAAGGGTTTCAATTGAACGGGTACTCAAGAGTGTACATAGAAGGTAAGAGCATCGCAAGACACCGGATAAACTTCGAGATCTCTGTAGGACGAGCCGTTGGGGAGGCCATGGAGGTGGACCACATCGTTTCACCCCCTTTGTTACCGGATGGTTCGCCCTATGGGCCCCAAGACGACAGCTGGGGCAATCTTCAGGAATTGACAAAGGAGGATCACGGGAAGAAGACCATGGCAGCCAATCCGGGTGCCGGCAAGAAGCGCGGTGTCAGAATGGGCTTCCCAGTTATCTCTGTTCAAGTGGCAACTGGGGTGGAGCGGCGTTTCAAGTCCTTTAGAGACGCGGCAGAGGCCTATGGGGTGTTCCCAGCACATATCTGGGATCGTGTGAACAAGCCGCACAGTAGTAGAACAGGGCTGCAGGGCTATACTTTCCACAAATGTCCACAGTTCGTTGCCGACCAGGCGGACAAGCCAGGGGAGGTCTGGGAGGATGCATTGCATCACGGCAAGCGGATCAAGGGAGTCCGTGTGAGCACATTAGGTCGAGTGGAATGGGAAGATGGCAAAAGACGGGGTGCAAGGACGATGCGTCACAAGAAGTGCTACTTCCGTGGTACAATTGAAGGGGTCAAGAAGCACCTTTACGTGCACATTGTGGTGGCCCACACCTTCTTAGGCCCCCAACCGAGCTCCGATCACACCGTGGACCACATCAACCAGGACAGTGTTGACAACCGGCTCGTGAATCTGCGATGGGCAACATATTCGGAGCAGAACAGGAACCGATCCAATAACCGAGCAGTTGAGAAGCTGGACACAGCAGGCCATGTCTTGGCTACATATGGGACAATTGCTGAGGCCGCTGATGCAATCAAGAGGCCATACCAAACCCTTGCTAGTGCAATACAGAACAGAACGGTGTTGGAAGGGTTCATGTGGCGAGACCGTGCCTGAGCACCATGCAGGACAATTGCACTTGTCCTGCTTGGAACTTTCTTCGTATTGTATTATACTCAAGCGATTCCTTCACTTCCCCCTATGAGCCTATGTTTGGCCAGCTAATGACCCAGTGCTACTCAACGTAAGGCAAACCAGCTACTGTCGGGGATGATCTTCTCACCGATCAGAATCACTCCCGCCACGACGGCGCCAATGACTAGTAATTCCTCCGATGACATTGCGCCACCATAGACAGGCACGCTGTGTACGATAAAGGCCGTGAACGCTCCATAGATGGCATAGCGCGCCAGCACAAAGAGGGCGGTCCTGAGGTCACACAACGTGCGGCCAGAGAAGTACTCATCTTCCTGGTAGTTTTCTTGCTGGTCCTCGTAGCCCTCGTACTGGCTTGGTTGCGGGACTTCCATTAACACAATGATAGTATCCAAGAGAAAAAAATCGGGCCTTGGTGCGGGCGAGGGCAGGCCTTTTCTTTCTCTGCGACCTTCAGAACATGGCCGAAGACAAGCAGCTGTACTTGGACGAAGATCCCATAAAAGTTCCTGGCATTCACTACAGCGTCATCAGCTTCCTTACGCCGAAGGGCCCGCAAAAGTGCGATACCTTTGGTGTAAAGATCCGTGGATCGTTTGATACCTATGACCAGGCCAACGCGCATGCCCAGAGGCTGGCAAAGGTCGACCCGGCCTTTGACATTTACGTCGTTGACTGCTACCGATGGCTCACTGCAGCTCCAGACCCTAACCTGCTCGACAAGAAGGTGTACAACAACCCCACGTTGAACACACTCATGGAGTCGTATCAGCAAGAGCAAGAACGGGCAAAGCAGCTCTTTGAGGAGCGCAAGGCCAAGGTGATGGCGGAGGGCCTCGAGGCGGTGGAGGAGACCTTGGAGAGCCCGGACCCTGAGCGCGAAACGAATAATGCTGATGAAGAGAAAGACAAAGCGGATGGCAGCTCTGCCTCTTGATCTTGACATGGCGAACCCCAGGGTCGTGGCGTCCCTCCTGCTGGTCGGTGGGCTCATCATCTTCCTGAGCCCTCTCATCAACGTGTTGCAGCTCTTTGGCGTGCTGCTCGTCCTCGGGGGCGTCCTAATCTACACGACCGGCAGCCTCCGGGTGGTGCGGGGAGCCCGCGCCCGCCTGCAGGCGCTGCCTGAGCGGATGGACGCGGCTACTGCGGCCTTGAGGGCGGCAGACTCTGCCACGCAGGCGGCCAAGGCTGCAGCCCCAAAGAATACCGTGCAGTATCTGCCAACCTTGGACATGTTCTTTGCTGGCAACAGCGTTGGTGCCTACGTTTCTGACAATATGTTCAAGCTTAACGATCCTCACCCGGCAGAGCGCCTGGGGCCTTCAATAGCTAGAGCTTAATCACACGCAAGACAACAGCCTGCTTCTGAGAGAACCCAATCAAACTGATCAGAAAAGGCTCAAGTCTGGAAAATGCGACATGCAATGGCAAACGAAGAATCAAGATGACCGTAAATGAAAACGCATCTATCCCCGACTTCTTATTAAAAATGCAAATTGACCCTGTGAGCGACGTTATAGGGGCAATTTGCATGGGAGCATCTTGCGAGAGGGCTTCTTAGTCCTGTGACGATGCCTTCGGCTCATGTACCTTCAAAGGACTGAGTTAGGGCTTAGGGTGACGCGTCCAGTGGAGATGGCAACTATTTTCATGGCATCTGCTATGGCGTCCCTGAGAGCCACAATTTGAGCTCGCAGAGTGTGGCTTTTCTGGGATTCCTGTCAACATCACACTCAAGAACGGTAAGAAGGTCAGCTCGTTCCCGCGGTCCTATGCCCACCTGACCACAGTTGAGAGCTGGAAGCAGCATATTGATGGCATGATCGCCTCGCACGGGCGCAACTGCAACAGCATCGCAGTCTTGACGGGCATCAGCGATTGCTATGTCCTGGATATTGACACAACATCCGACTCCACAAAGCAGGCTGGAATGGAACTTTGGAATCGGCTGGTGTTCGAGCACGGGGAGCCGAACACGCTCCGCGCAAAGACAGGGAGCGGAGGTCTTCATTTCTACTTTTCGGTCTCCCAAACGCCCCGCCTGAAGCGGACCCGCAACTTCTCTGGGGTCAAGGTGGACGGCCATACCTACGGCATAGACGGGAGAGGGAAGGGAGGTGTCATCTTCTGCCCTCCCAGCTCCTACACGGACGAGCACGGCACCCGTTACAGCTACTTTTGGGAGCACGGGGAGCCGCGGCTCGGCTGCAACGGCATGCCGGACTGGCTGACCGATCTGGTCAACGCCCAGGGTGGGGCCGCGCTTCCCGACCCGGACGAAGCACCCGGCGAACTTCAGGCCCTTCCCCTCCAGGCCGGCCCGAGCGCCCTGCAGCTGCCAGTAGACCGTTCCATTGTCCCACGTGGAGAGCCGGCTCACTACGATCTTGCATCCGCCCCCAACGCGCTGATTGTGAGCGGCATCCGAGAATTGCTGTTCGAGAAGGCGGGTGACAGGACGAGCCGCTGCAGCAGCACGCTGGACCATGGCCCGTTTGGCACCTTCTACTGCTTCCGGGTCAGCGGCCCCCGCATCTGCTTCCTCGGCCAGCAGCACGATGGAGCAAACAACTTCAACGTCCTCAAGCAGGGCAAGCGGCTGCTCTATCGGTGTCACGGCACCATCTGCAGCCACGAGAAGGTCAGGCCGCTGGGCAACCTGCCTCTTGAGGTTGCACTGATGGACGCAAGCTCGGAAGCAGTGGACGATGCAAGCGATGACTCCGTCTTCAACTTCCGGACAATGTCCTCCAACAACCAGGCGCTCCTCCTCCGGCTGCTGGCGGAGAAGATACGGGAGAACTACACGGGGTTGGGCCAGGTCTTTGCCTACGTCTACGCCAAGGAGGGGCGCATCCTCGTGACAGACCCCAAGAGGACCTTCTACTTTTGGGACAGCAAGCAGTGGATGCGGGACGACGGCGGGAAGGTCCAGAGCACCTTTTGCGTGCAGATGGCCAGGCTGCTCAGGTGGTACGACCGGCAGCGTGATGCCCTCCTCAAGCGGAAACTCATCGAGGTGGGCGCGTGCCAAGAGGACGAGCCCATGAGCTCGGTGATCGCGGCCGCGCGGAGGAGCGACGCAAGGGTCAAGAAGGCAGAGGCCCATGTGGAAGAGGAGCTGCCACGCAACAAGGTCAACGTCAGCAACCCAAAGGAGGCGCGCAGCTGCGCTGTCTGGACTTATTGAGGCGTGCATGCACACAGTTGACGAGGCCATCAAGATCACAGAGAAGGCAACTGCGACAGGGTCTGACGTTCGCTCGGAGTGTCCACCGTTCGACCAGAGCAAATTGGACAAGGTGAGAATAACCGCTCCTTCTCTGCTTGTTGTCATGTGAATCACAGCACAATCCACAGAAAGCCCGCATATGCTGTCCTGTCCCTAGATTGACACACTGGAAAAGCAGTAAAGAAACAGAAAATCCCCAAGCGGTGGGCGCTTCTGCTTAGAAGCAAGTGATGAATTGCGGTCAAGATCTCGCCTTGTTGTTTCAGGTCCTCATGGTGGGCGGATCCAGCAGAGTGTTGCCGGTCCAGTCCAGCCTGCGGAAGGTTTTCGGCGAGAAGGTGGAGGTCTTGGACCGACCAGAGGAGGCCGTTGCGAGGGGAGCTGCTCTGATGGCGTCCATCTCGGAAGCCAGGCAGTGAGGACAAAATGAGCACGCCGTGTACGCGATGAGCATCGCAGAGTCGCTTCCGATCGGCATCGGTTTCAGGGTCTACGACGTCACAACTGGGAGACAGTAAGTGGCATCTGTGAAGCGCAACGTCCAGGAACGTGCAACCCGAACTCGAGCAGCTGTGGATCTGCGAGTGAGGTTGCAAGCTCTCAATGCAAGTATGTACGCTCCTCAAACCACAGGCTAACCCGCTGTTCTTGTCTGTACAGCCGCATGGAGATTGTTCTGCCAGCTGGGACACCTTTTGGACGGACGAAGAGCAATGACAACTGCTACGTCAAGGAAACAAGCTTCGAGTTCACAGTCCTTCCGGGCAACCGGGATGACTACGACGGCCTTGACGAGTGCATTGTGGTGAAGCAGTTCCAAGTCAAGAGGCCCAAGTGGAAGAAAGGGGGCAAGCGCATCTTCCTGCACATCGAGTTCCACGTCATGATGGACGGAGGTCTGAGCGTCAGGATTGAGCCTCCCAACAAGGACGATGCGTGAGTAACCAGACTCATATCGAGTTGCTGCCTGTGCACTTGAATGAGGGGTTGTCTAGGTGGGCAGGCGTGGTTGCGACTCAGGGCTACTTGCTGCCAGGAATACGTACAAACAGGCAATCTGGCTTCTCGTCGAATTGTGCAATTGCAGGTAAGAGACCTAACACCTGGCAAACACACCGCATGCCTGTCTCCTCTTGCAGACAGGAGTGCGAGGTGCAGCAGGAGGACCTTCACTCTCGGGACGAGCAGGCGCGGAGGGAGCTCGAGGCGCTCGGCCATCGCCACAGGGAAGAGCAGGAGAGGCTGAGGGCCATCGAGTACTTTTACCAGCTCCTCGTGGCAGGCTACCAGGCACTGAGGAGGGTCGTCGAGGGAGTTGGGGAGTCAGCGCTGAGACCGCCCATGCGGCACGAACTGGGAAAAATCGATGCCTTTGTGAGGGAGTCGAAGTCGCGCAAGATTGCAGACATGGATAAAGCAGAGATGGAAGTGTACTCGGAGATGGTAAAGGACCTTCAGAGGGAGTTGACAAAGCGAAAGCGCGAGCAAGACGATGAGCAGAACAAAGGAGAATTAGAGGATGAGGATGAGGATGAGGACGACGAGGAATATGAGGGAGAAGACGAGGACGCAGATGATGAGGACGGGATTGACGAAGAGGAGGCAGCCTTGTAACTTTTGGAAAGCACAAACAGCCGTGGTCTTTGTTTGAAGCTTGTAAATGTGACTTGTTGCATGTTGGCCCATTCAACTGTTTGTTGTCTGTCAAAGGGTTGGTGTGAAAGGCGACAGAAGAGGTTCTTTATCAAAAGTCAAACCCTCGTCCTCCTTGCGCGCCTGAAAAAACTTCCAGATATCCCTCTGAAGTTTCGGCTTGGTATCCGGCTTGAACTCCCAAACTCCATCATCGTTCTTAACAAGGTCCTTAATGGGGTCGAACGAATGCTTCACGAGAATCTGGCCTCGTGTGGCATATTGTCGGTTATTTTTAGCACCATGCCACGAATGTCCGGCCTCACATACTACGCACCCCAGCTTTTCCCCGTTCATAGCTTGCAAGATCCGCTCCTGCCACTCTATTATGGGGCGCCGATAGCCTTCAGAAAGACCCTTTTGTATACCGTCCTCGACCTTTCCAACCATAGCGCGAGCCATGAGGCCATCAGCGCTTCCGAGAATGGCTGTCTCTAGCAGCCCGCCGCATGCATCCAACACACTCCTCCGAGCCGCCCATGCATATCCTGTATGCGACATGTTGGCCCATGGAGGTCGGAATGCGGGCTTGAACAGAGGTTCGCCGTCCCTGTAAGCGGCTGCAAAGCTCTTGTGATTCTTCATTACTTCGCCCTTTGCATCCAAGTCACGGCAAGTCTCAAAGACTTGTACCACCGGGTGCTCCTGAAGTGCCGCAATGATCCTCTCCTTTAGATCCTGGCAATAGAACGTCAGGTCATCATCGATCCAGAGCACATACTGAGCCTCCTTAGGCAAGCGCCTCAAGCCAATATTCAAGAGATTCTCTTTCAGGAAAAGGGCCGAATTTCCCCGAACCTGCACGTCGAGTGGTTCATCCGGCCTGGTTACGGAGAACTGCTGATCACCAATTGCACATTCCACGGTGATCAGTGGAATACCCAGAGACCTCATGTGCGCCGCAAACCTCTTGTGAACTTCTGATCGGACACGGTACCCGCACGGGTTGAACATGCACGTCACGGCAAACAGTGATGAGCTATCTTCAGGAGTAGTCATGGTACAATCAAGACAGAAATTCTGCAAGTTGAGCTTCCATAATCACACCAATTCATCCTCGTCATCCGCTGGAGCAAAGCCGATGCATGGCTCGGGCACCCCAGACGCAATACTCCGTAAGACGACCAGCGAAAAATCCTCCTGAATTGCAAAGGTGAAGGACACATCAACCCCTGACTGCAGCCGCCGCTCGATGCGAAAGTTGCCCCCTTGTGCGTTCCAGTAGGGAACTCCGGCACCATTCTTGTTCCAAAGGAACGATACAAGCTTTGGATCGCTATTATATTGGGCGCCACGCATCAAGAGGCCTCCCTGGTCAATGCTATCGTAATCGGGGCGTATTTCTGTCCCTAGAACGACTGCGTTGGAGTCCAGTAACATTGTATTCGCCATGCTGTTGCTTCCCGGATCAAAGCCATACAGGTCTCCAGAGAGCATGAGGTCGCCATCGATGCACACTCTTGCCAGGGCACCAGGCCTGAGAATCAGGTCCTGGCCCGCTTGGCTCTCAATGAGACGCGTTCCAAGGAAAGCATTGCTAGGATCGTGGGCCAGTTGGGTCACCCCGCTGATGATGAGATCTGAAGCAACCCGAACATCTCTGCCGACATTCAATACGATGCTGTTGTCTGTATTTACGTTGAGATCCACGTTGCTGCCGGACGCATCTCTACCACTATGCAGGTTGTTGAAGATTCCAGTGTTTGCTCGAACGGTCCCAAGATTCGCTTCGTAAACAGGCATGTCTTACATCAAACGCGCAAAAATGGGAGGTGTCACAGCTACTATGTTGCACGAAGCTGATGCCTAAACATCTCCTCACACTGTCCTGCGCGATGCCTATCACGGTCCTTCCTTGCACGGTGCAACGAGCAATATGCGACGACCCAGCAAGCAGTGCAGCGCCTGAAGACGGTGTTCCTGGGTGCCCTTCGCCCGCAGCTGCCGTTGTTGCACGACTTTTGCTCGTACCAAAAGTTGTTCAACCGGAGAGCCCTATGCGCCGCTTCAGCTACGAGCGCCCAATGCCGCCGCTGCTCTACAGTTGCTGTTGCCCCCGGCATGCTCTTTCGCGACTCTTCAGCGAGGAAAACGGCCGGGAGGAACGAGCTGGAGGGTTGGTAGGTCTCGCGTCTGATGATAGGGGCAAGAAGCGGGCCGATCTCGTGGAAGTCCTCGGCCTCTGCCAGTTTCCGGACCTTGGTACCCAGCTGCCGGTCTTTCTGGAAGCCCCAGCCGTTCCGGATGCGCATGGACAGCTCGATCGCTGCTGGCTCGTACCCCAGCGCGGCAGCCCTGTACAGTAGCTCATTGGCCCCGCGGTGACAGACATCAAGCTTGTCGCCTCCGCTGCCGTTCGTTAGGGTGATTGCACACTCGTACAGTGCAGGAGCATGGCCCTGTTCAGCAGCCTTCACGAGCAGGTCTGCCCCGATGCCGTGCTCATTTGTGGAGTAGAAGCGCAGCATGCCGCTCACGTACAGGGCGTCCATGGACCCAGCGTTCCTTATCTTGCTCAGGAAGTCGAGCGCACGGGGCTCAGTGAGAACCCTCTGCACCAGCATGAGGCCAGCGCCCGCACTTTTGAGAACCTCTTTCATATTGGCAGCAGAGTGGAAGCTCTTTGAGACACACGCTGCACTGCATAGGTCTTGGGGCCTGTCGGCCGTTTTAGAGAGGCGCTGGAGGATCTCGAGAAGCAACTCCTGTGGCAGAGTCTCCATTTTCTGAGATGTTTGAAATGAGCCCTGCAATTGGAATCCTGGATTCAAAGGGCTCAACAGAGGTGGCGGGACATGGCAAAGGATTGGACGCTGCTGCCAGATGCTGCCATGTCTTCCCACTCCTCACCAAAGCATACCAGAAAGCACGTTCACTTAGGGCGAAGGATTCCCTTCATTCACAGCAACTGCAAGTCGGAGGATATGGATCAGAGCGCACCTGCATCTGTTACTCGTAGGCGGCGCCTTTGCCTCTGCAAAACAGCACGGCCTTGCTTCGGATATCAAGGATACAAGCCCTCCCGTTGTCTGAAATGTAAGGTCGAGGGCATGGTCGATGTCAGGAACAAGAGATGTGCATGCAAACGAGGGCGACCAAACTTTGGGCTTCAAGGCGAGAGGCCGACCCGTTGCTTTCACTGCAAGCTGGACGGGATGATTGATCTCACGCATACTAAGTGCAATTGTGGAAACAGTCGACCAAGTTTCGGATTCGAAGAGGGCCAACCCACCCACTGTGCACGCTGCAAGGCCGAGAAAATGGTCGACCTCGTTCACAAGAAGTGCTTTTGTGGACAACGGGTGCCTAGCTTCGGTTTCAAGTGGAGACGCCCTACCCGTTGTGGCAAATGCAGAACACCAGACATGGTCAACGTCGTTAACAGAAGGTGCTTCTGCCAGAGGGGGATTCCAAGCTTTGGCCTCAAAGACGGCTTACCCACCCATTGTGCGGAGTGTAAAACTGAGGCCATGGAGGACGTCGTACACAAGAAGTGCCTCAATGGTTGCGGCACGATTGTGAAGAACCGCAACAAGGGCTATTGCCTTCGCTGCTTTGTATTCCTTTACCCCGACGAGAAGGTTTCTCGGAACTACAAGATCAAGGAGAAGCAGTTCGTCGACTACATCAAGGCAGCTGGCGTTCTCCCGGATACGGCGGAAGTCACCTTCGACAAGAGGCTCCAGGGTGGGTGCTCGCCACGGAGGCCGGACATCTTTGTCGATGTGTATAGCCACACCGTGCACTCGGAATGCGACGAGGGTCAGCACTCTGTGGGCAACTACTCCTGCGACAACAAAAGGCTCATGGAGCTTTTTCAGGATGCCGGCAACCGGCCTCAGGTGCAGCTGCGGTTCAATCCAGACAGCTTCACGTCAGCCGATGGCACAAAGCACCCGAGCTGCTTCAAGTACAACAAGACAGGGCTGCCCGTCATTAGAGACCAGACCACATGGGAAGCGAGGATGAACGTGTACCTCGAACGCCTGAAGCACCACCTTACGCACGTGCCTGACCAAGAAGTGACGGTCGAGCACCTGTTCTATGATGGGTTTGACTATCGCTCAGAGGACATGTCAGGCAAAGCTGGACGGAAGCGCAAGCGTACGTAATTGACTTAAGGCCTCCTGCACCGCGTAGTCTGTTTGCTGATAAAAGAACAGTTGTAGATATGGAATTCGACCGCGGAGGATTCATCTACGCCGGAAGACCCGTTAGTTCTCCAGTCATGAAGGTTGGCATGACAACCCACAGAGATCCAGAGTCCTACATCAGGCGTAGGTACGCGGGCCTCGCATGTCTTGAGAACTTGATGTCCGTCTCAGATGCTCCAAATGCCGAACGACTTGTTCATCATAAGCTCATCCCGTATAAATACACAATATCCACCTCAAGGGAGCTCTTCGTCAATACCCCACCATCAGACGAGATCCAGAAGCTATTTGAGTGGGCTGCAGCCCTCGTCAACCACCCTGACAAGCTACGAGAGTATGCCAGCATCCACAACATTACACCGGAAGGCGACAGTGCAAAACGCTGGGTCAGAACAAAGCATGCGACCTATGATTCAGATGATGACTGATGGATGGGTCAGCCCATGAACAGAGGTCTAATTTGATCCAGACTCTGTTGCAACACATTATAAAGCTCAAAGAAGATGTGAACCGTACAGCCATCGGTGACAACTTCAGGATCCAACGTTAGCTCCAGAAAGTTCCGGGTTAATGAAAAATCAAACGCACCTGTTGGCTGATCGACAAAAGGGCTCTCATAGCCTCCTTCAGCGGGTGCCCAGGAAAACAAGGGCAACCGCTTGGCAGAGTAGGGGACGTCTGCAGGCCGCAGTGCGAAGGAGTGCGAGTACACACCCGGCATGCTTGCAGCTCCATAAAAGTACGGCTACACCAGCTCACTATACTTGCCGTCAGCTCTCTCACCAGTGTCTTGATTCACGGGGCCTCTAGACATGAGATCGTAGCCCTCCAGAATGAGCCGCGAGGAGAGCACACTGTTTGGCAAAATCTGATTGGGGTCATCAGATGCTGTCACAAGCCACAGCAGCCGCCTCACAGACTTGTTGCATGTGAGTTCAATCCGCTGGACAGGCAAATCTGCATCAACAGCGTGGTCCTGGTGAAGATTCTGCTGAAAGAGAGACTTTGAGGGGCCTGAACGGATGAGGGCAAAAGCAACCTTTGGATCAAGCCAAACATTGTCAGTGAGAATTGAGATGCGGGGCTGCAGCCTGACGTCTGGTGGGGGCTGGATTATTGAGCTGAGCGGGCTCAACTTTAGCTTGATGATGGCCTCTGCTGTGATGAGGCTCGCCAGAGGGAACCCATTGCTGACCTGAGCCCTTGCAAACCAGAATGGTATTGGAACATGCACCAGCTTGTGGGTTGTGGCCTCACCATCTTGAATTTCCGCCTCACTGTCCAGCATACCAGGAACTGTCACACCATTGAGCATGTCGCCAAACCTTGAGTACTCACTGTGTGCATCTGACATGACAGCTTTAAGGAGCATGTGCAGGCCGGTCATCCGGTCGAGTTCAACACCCGCAACTGAAATAGACAACTCATCAATCAGCCTGTACCCCAGGTCACTCACATAGGGATAAGCACTGTCCAACTGGGGCAACTCAACTTCCAACGTCATGCCCACAATAAGATCACCAGAGTGTTTGAGCGAGCATGTGAAGACGGGTTGCACGTCAGCGTTGCTGAACACTGGTTGAGGCTCATTGAACTCATTCACAACAGGGTCCTTGGCAAAGGCGTCGTAAGTCCGCCAAGACGGTTGACCAGTGGCGAAAAAGGAATGAGTTGGCGAAACAATTGTATGTACATCCTGGGCACCCTTGGCCAGCAGTTGAACATAGGTTCCCAAGCTAGTCGTTGCTTCCATACCCTATCAAAGTGTCAGTTCCTTTTTTCAGCAATACGCACCCACTTCTAGCAACCTTCCCAATCTCACCCTGCATCGAAAGCTATAAGGCACGGGCTCCACCGGTTCTGCCTTGCGTTTCTGGGATAGCCGACGCTCACACCGTACCCTGACGATCTCTTGTAGTGCTTTCTCAATCTCGGCCTCAGTCAGGTTCAGCCTGAAGTCGATGCCAAAGAGGAAAGCCACCTCCAAAGAGTTGAGCTCTTCCACCGATACCCCTCCCACCTCAGCAAAATAGGCGTTTTCATAGGACCTGCAGTCGGAGAAGCACACTTGAGAGGTTGCACGCGGTCTTTAGAGACAAAGTACGCGCTTAGCTTTCCAAGAGGACCCCTAAACGAGCGGTGTCTTCATCTGCCGGCTGCCAGTACAACTCCCGATGTATTGGGGTGATGTCACAGCCGTTCGATTGACCCGGATGCGGATAAGGCTAGCGAATACGGGACGCTGGATGCCAAACAAGAGAGAATAGGCGCCCTTTTAGGGGTTGAAAGACTCACCCGTCATCAAAAAACTTTGAGCTCAGCATGAGGGCTGTCAGGAGCAGGCGGTGGATGTTGGAGGCCGAAACAACGTCCACCGGCTCCTTCCTGTTGAGCATTTTGAAGATGTATACACATGCTCCTATCACTGCCACTGGGGAAACGTCGAGATAGCGGCTCAGGTGCTCTCCATACTTTTGGATTGGAACAGTGGCCGGCCGTTTGCCTTCAAAGATTGACATGCTGGACTCCGAGGTTGGCCCACTGCAAGACAGCTGTGCCCAGCGCTCGCAGCAGCATGTCAAGAGCTCCTTGCATGCAGAAGCTTCCAGCTCAAATTGAGTCTCTAGCGTGCTGCCCCCCGACCCCATGCAGAGCCGCCTGATGCGGTGGAGCCAGGTCAGGTATGGGACATCTTCCATGGTGGTGGAGTTGGTGGTCCTTGTCAAGAGAGATGGAAGAATGAAAGAGTTGCAATACCCACTCCAAAGAAATTCTGGTCTGGCAGCTGGTGGCGTGGATGGCGGCTGGTGGCGGTCCAGCTGGCAACTGGTGGCGTGTGTGCTGAGTATAAAAGGGTGAAAGGTGCTCACAAATCATAAAACTCAGTCAAGCGTTTGAGACCAAGAGCAGCAGCAGGACGCCGTCGGCCCCTCGACAAAGTGAGAAGGTGAGCCACCATCCCGCTCTTTTTTGCTGTCATTTTCAGGAGAGACCTTGCATACATACATATCAGCAACTCTCTGGACAGTCCAAAACTTCCATACTACAATCTGTTATATTTCTTTTCTCCTCCAGGGAAGGAAAATATAACAGA